GGCACCAGGTTAAAAAATAAATAAATAAAATATATAACAGCGATGAAGCTGGAAGGAGCTTCTGGTGAAGTGAAAGCCGTGAAGCAACTTGCTTTAGAGTTACGTGTCTCCTCAGTGAACCCGGCTGTCGTCAGATGGAAACCTCCATCCACTGGACTAGCAAACAGTGGTAATCCAGGCAGGCCCCCCTGCTCCTGCTTGGTACAGAAGTCTTAAGTTCAGAGAAGAGATGAGATATGTTCGAATGCACGTACAGCAAGTTGGAACAACAGCAATGACTGGAAAAGCAGAATATTCTCTGGAAGAGAAGGCTGTGGCTCAGGAGGTAGAGCGGGTCGTCCACCAATCAAAAGGTCGGCTAATAGATTCTTCTGCTACTCCAGTCTGCACCTCTGTCCCCTAGATGGCTCTTAAAGCATAAATAGCTCTGTGACTTCTTCAAATAAAACACAGACATTACATGCATGACGTGAGAAACATTTAAACCAAGATTATCAACCTCATTTTATGTTGTGGGCCACATGCAACCCACTTTGATCTTAAGTGGGCCGGACAGGTGAAACCCCCTTTTTGTCAGTGTAAAGTTTTCCTACACATCTCAAAATGCAGAGATAGCTTAATTTTTTTTTTTTAATTAGTGTAGTATGTCCCAGTTTTTCTACATGATCAAAAAATTCAGTTACAATAAAGTTAAAAGTCCAAACTCTACTCCCTACTTCATCTTTTCTAAAAACCATCCGGTCGGCCGGATTGGTCGTCCTGGCTGATTTTGGACACTGGGCCTTATGTTCGACACCCCTGATTTCTACGTGTTTAAACTTGTGGTTGTAAAGTCAAAGTATGACAAGTTAGTGGCTCTCAGAGTGACTGGAACTGTCTTAAGACTATAACTGAAAAGAAAATCAGTCAAGTTGTCAGACAAGAGAGGTTAGAAATCTTTGAAACAAACCGGAACAATCAGAGGTCAAAGCAGACTCACAAATGCTGCACGGACTGTTAGATAGGTTAACTGTATGTCCGACGAGGGAAGAGGGAATCTAGAGTCAAAGGGCGGGACCAGATGGTTTTCCAGTTGATCTGCATTAAGACATCTTTGATAATAAAATTATCAAATGAAATAAATTGTTTCTAAATGCTTTTTAAAATGAGAGCCTTCCATATTTCATGAGTGTTGCCCTGTTTTTAACCAGGCAAAAATCTGAGGCCAACAAATTTCCAATTTGTTCCAAATTTGTTAAATTCATCTTCGTCCACTTTTCCACTTCGGGGTCGGTCAGCTGTCGTAAGGCAAAAGGCAGCGTACACATTGGACAGGTCGCCACTATCACAGAGCTAACACACACAGTGAGCCGAACACACTCTCGTCCAGTTTAGAATTCCCAATTAAAGTATAAACCCATGAGAGAAAAAGTCTGTAGAAATAAC